TTAATATATATATATATATATATTAAATAATTAATAATTTATATATGGAATCTATAAAACAGAAAAATAACTCTAAATTCATGCATTAATCATTTTAAAGAAGAAACAACTATTACATTTGCCGGAGAGTCATCCAAGAAGATGAAAATCACCAAAGAAAAAATAGATCGTCCAAGAAAGAGAGGGAGAAGGGAAGTTAAAGACTTACGGCAAATGATAAAGTGCGACACTCAATGGGTCAAGATACAATACCTATACACACTGTTTCACACTTAAATAGAAAAAAGAAAATTTGAATGAAAGGAAAAAAATACCCTCGTGTATTTGGAAAAATTATGCTTACAATATCTAAATTGAAAAGCATCTTTGGTACAAGACCAAATTGAAAATGAGTATTACGTAGAGATCAAAATATATTGACTGAAATAGGACTTGTTACACAATTTTCTATTGTTGTTGATGTGTTAATTACACAACTAATAACCATACATGTGTTCCTTTCTGCCATTGCATCCCTTTTTTGTGCAAGAGTTATATTAACTGCTTCCAATGGTTTTTGTAATTGTAATACACATTTTATGTAGATCTGCTTGAATGTGAAACCAGTGTCATTGGCACTATGGATATACATAAAATGATAGTTCTTACCCTTTTACAATCTGAATAAATGGTTATGCTGATTCTTGGATTCAGGGCTTGGGCAGAGGACGAGGCCAAACGAGTGAGAGAACAAGCAATAGCCTTAGAGGGGGCCAGAGATCGTTGGGAGAGGCATGGAATCAAAGTGGTAGTTGATGATGACCTTCGCAGAGAGTCCTCGGCAGGAGTTACATGGCTCAACGCCTCCGAGCAGATCTCTGTTCAAGGAACAGTCGACAGGGCTGAAAACTTACTGGGCAAGCTCAAACAGATGGCAGCAGATCTCAGAGGAAAATCTAGAGATACCCTTGACAAAATCATCCACATGGTTTCCCTGTTTATATCAAAATTGAGGGAATGGGCATGCAGAACAAGAAAACAGGCTGAAGAATTTGGGGAAGCTGCCATCTCAAACACAGGTAAGTCAGCCAGTGAGTTGCAGAAGAGTGCCCTTGAATTTGGATTTGGTGTCAAAGAAGGTGCAAAGCGAGTTGCTGGTGATTGTAGAGAAGGGGTTGAGAAAATCACCCAAAAATTCACACAGAAGTTCAAGACCTGATCTTTTCTACCCTCAACATTTTTTCAGGCATATTGGCCAGAGGTGTAGTTTGCTTTCATTTTCTTTGTTCAGTGCTTCAACAGAGACGTGACATGGGCAGTTTCCAACATATAATAACTGCCTTCAGAAGATCACAACATATTCATGTGAAACCATGCTTGTATAATTGATACAAGGAGGAATTGTAGCAGAGGAATTACTAGTTGTAGTTCAACATGTTGCCATGTCTGCAGCACATCTAGAGTAAAAGATAAGCAGCATGGATATTTTTCTTTTGAAGCATGATGATTACATGTTGTCATTCTCATTCTCACTCAAACACCCTGTTTAATAAGGAACATTTCAATAAGGGTGTTAGCATAATAAGTGATTTCTTTTAAACTGGATAAAGATGTTGGCTTGTGCTTCATTATTTCAACCATTGTTGAACTTTGGTTGAATCGAACATGATTAAATTTTATATATATATATATATATATATA